CGTGGCTTGAGAGTCAGGGGAAACTATACTGGAAGGGTAGCCCATAAAGGGCAAGAGTGATCACTGTACTGTGCACCCATGATTTAACTGTAGACCTCTGATATGTATACACGTTCCCAGTTCTGTTATTTCTGGCTTTGCTATACTTTTATCGTTGTTATAATCTCTTATCACTAATAAATTCTCACACTTGAAAAATGATGATCTCTTAAGTTCAGTAATTAACAAGTCACATCCCCTGCCTTTTATGGTTTGGGAGCAGGGTTGCAAAGGGGCAGGAGGACACACAGTTGAAATGGACTTTGACCACTACTGCAGTTCAGCTTCACCATGTGATGCCTCACCTAACTTCCTGCCTAATCCAATCAGGCAGCTTCCAGTCATCCTAAGGTTGGAAAAGGGTACCCTTGCTCTCTCAGTTCACAGGGGCCGCTGCAATATCAGCGGTGTATAAGCCCTGGGCACAAACAAGAACAAATCAGGAGGAAACATGACCTTAAACATTTAGGCAGTCAACTTAAAAATGGGAGTGATTTAGGCAGTCAACTTAAAAATGGGAGATCTAAGGTTACAGTCCCTGTTCCCCTAAATTGCTTTTGTTTTGTATTCAATTTGAATACAAACTACATAAAGTAAGATAAATAACAGGTGGGAGTTAAAGGAAGAGTAGGATGTCCAAATATTTTGTGCATTTCCACCATAACATTCTTTAATTCCCTATTCATATATTTTTCTTTCAAGCAAGGATGAGCACTACAGTTTTTCCCGTCACACAGTCAGGTTCCTCTTGATGTCCTCCTAAAGCCAAATCCCAATATTACACATATATTAGCATCTTCTAGGAAATCCATACCAGAGCAAATGAAGGCTATACAGTACTTTCAAACAGTCTTTCTGCTAAAATTCTGGTCCCATCCATTCTTTCCTTTTTTCTGTCTAGCCTCAGCACATACACACCACTGATTTATTCAAATCCAACATATTCACATTTACTACAATGCATCTCTTTCAACTTATTTTTATTTACATGATAAATACTTCAGGACTTCTCCTAAAGTAGAACTTGTCTGTAAACTGCATAGTAGATTTTTGCAACTGTAAAAAGAGACTGAAATATATTACAAAATAAAGAAGCAAGCAATTTACTAACTCATAAGTTATTTTCTTCTTGTGTCTACAAACAAAGTCTGTCCCTTCCTCTTCTATATGTCACTTGCTAAAATTCCTTAGTGTTACACATGTAAGAGGGCATTTGGATCTCTGAAATACTGAGCTTTATGCCCCAGATTTAAAGATACTGGTACCTGGGCCTAAGCAGTGAGAGTAGCGCACTTAAAATTCAGATCTAAACAGGAAATTTTCCGAGACAAAGGGTTACAGAATGATCTGTAGAAAGTCTACACAACTCTGAAGCAAAACTACAAAGAGGAAGGTGGATCTAGCTTATAAACAAAACTGGAAATCCAGAGATCTGTGCTCTTGGCCTTGCTCTACTGAAGACTGACTTTGTAATCAAAGCATTCCAGCATCAGCGTGTCCTTCTGCATCTCTAAGATGATAAAAGGGATGATGGAGAACACAGTTTCATCAGCATTTATAAGACACACTGTGTGGACAGGTATTATTGCACAACTATGTAATTTACCCTTGTTCCACAGGGCAGATCCTTATGAAACCACCAAGCATGAAACACAGCACAGGGGAGCTGTGTGTAAAGACAGAACAGAGGGCTCCATTAGGCTGGAGTCTCCTAAAGTGGTGAGCATAGAAAAGAGAAAGTGTTCATCTGCAGATAGCCCCCAGCAACTTCCCATCCCCAGTGCTAATGTTATCAAGCAAGGCACCTCAGCTTCCATCCTCTTCAGATATAGGAAGGAAAAGTGCTCCCTGCCAGCGACTTTCATTCTGGGAAAGGTTTGTATTACCTATTTCGCCGTCTCATAGCCATCAGACTCTTGCTGACTTTGCATTGTTAAATGCTATGGAAAGGGAAGGACAGTTAGCAGGTTGCTACTCTATGCACAAGTTGAAAAGCCATTAATGAGGTGGCATCTACTTCCTAGTCCAAGTTATCAAGTCCTTAAGCTGTGAATATTAACTTATCTCTCATATCCAGCATTATTCGTTAAAGAATTCCTGTTCCTGTGAGTATAGATGCGTATGTGCATTTAGGCAGATCTAATGGAGGGATTAAGTTTAAGACACCTACACCTAAGCATTTAGATCTAGGTGTCACTACATCTCTAAGTGTCCTAAATACACAATGAAGATCTAGATTGCAAAAATCAGTGTAGCCTGCTGGAGCACCCAAGTAAATTCGCATTTCTTGAGTCAGGGCAGGAGCAGAACTTCCACCCTGGAACATATATTTTAATTCCTTATTGCATTACAGGAACTCATTTATGGACTATAGCACTGTAGTAGGCTAGCCAAAACAAACATGTAGCTTCCCAATATGAAAAATTAAACATCCTTCATTACATCAGCAAACATAAAATGGTTCCTATTCTCTAAAACCTCACAAACCAACTCTGGCATTGTATTGACACATCAAGTTGGACTCAATAGTTTAAGGTACTGCTCAACAGTAGCATGATTAAGACTACGTACAGCAGTCCGTTAGCTCTCAAGGAGAAGGAAAGCACCCTGCAGAATAAAGAAGGACCAAAAAAATAAGATGGAAAAACAACAGCGTAAATGAGTCTGGTAAATAAGAGCTCTGCAAAGAAGTTTACTTTGGCACAGGAAGCTTTACAACACACCCCAAATTCCCAACATGAAGAACTGATCTGTAGCATATGTTTTACATTTTAACTAAAATAAACATTATTGCCTCCCTCAGTAGATTAGAAGCACCGACCACGCTCTACGCAGGAAGCTCAGGATTTTGAGAATCCCGTGCTGTTTCAAAGCTCCTCCCAGCAGTGGTGCTCAGGTGTAGGCTCTGCATTAGAAGCCCATGCCAGCCACCTCCCCATCCACCTCAGTTTCTGAGGCACAGTAAAAGGCTAAATTATAGAAGTGAGATTTTCCAGCTTTCCCACTGAGTCACTAGAGGTTGTGGAATTAAAATATTTTTTGCAAGTCACAAAAAACTTCCTGTAACCCTTAAGGTCTTCTCTCACGCATAATTTCATTCAGCATCCATTTTCCTAAATGACACACTCCACTTGCCTCATATGCAATAATCAAGTGGAAGACAGATTTTAGTAAATGTCATATGCATGAGGAAAACCCCTATTCCATGGATTGAATTCTACAGAGAAATAAAAACTAGTTTTTACTCTTGTGAAAATGAAATGAGGAGAGTGAAGAAAATTTTTTTTTCTCCTCCTCTGACAAATTCTTCCAGAGGGAGTGGCTTTTTGCATTATTCTCTCCAGGACACACTCTTAAGGACTTGCATTTGGAAGGGAGGTGTGATTGCAGAATTACACCTGGTTTGTTTGAGGCTGATTCTATTTTCCTGTTAAGTACACGAAGCATGATTCAGAGCCCATTATGGCAAACAGCGGGCACTGAACTAGACACAAAGTGAGTTCAGTCCCACGTAGTGGGGTTGACACCCCCAAAGGGGAGTAAAGCCCGCTACTTCATTACCTTCATTTTACTTTTGCCTTTTTTTTTTTTTAAAAGTCTTCTCATAAGATTTTTCTTTTCTTCTTGATTGCAGGAAGAGATGCAACCTAGCACCCCAACACTCCACCGACATTTCTGCTTGTACGATAGTAGGAAAAGGAAGAACACTTGCTAAAAAAAAACAATTATGTTCAGGATAGCTGGAAATATTAAAGGGCAGGTTTTACCAGATCTCACAGAAAACAATATGTTCTTTCAGGAAGAAAGAGGAGATACTGAAAAAACATTCCCCTTGATTTCAGAATGGAAAGTTATAAACTAATTGACCAAGCAATAAAACCCTTTTTTCCATTCAAAGAAATATTTCATTTAAATTTAGTGTTTTTAAATGAGAGACTGCTTGATTTTTTCTTAAACTTGAAACAAAATCAAATTTTCAAGTAAAAAAAACAATTTACAACAATTCTAAGTTTTTCTTGCTCAAAAAATGTTAATAGATGAATTATTCAAACATAATTCTTCCCTAAATTCAGATTTGACTTTCAGAAATGATTGTGCTATGGAAAAAATAGCCAAATATCTCCTGTTTTTTGTTATGCAACTATCAACTTTCCCTATTTTTTAATATCTTATATTTTAATAGTCTTTTTTGAAACCATGCAAGTGCATCAGGTACAAGTTTCACAGAAAACAAATAAGTGCCTTTGAAAATAACATTATACATAATAATAAAAGGAAAAATCATTGAATGCATTTTGGTTTTAAAGTTTCATTGGATACATAAAACTGGCCAGGCTGAGTGATCTATAATACACTGACAGACGCAGCCAGATACAGACCTTCGAAAGAAAGGGAAAGCAGGAAGGAGTTGAACAGAAACATTTAGTCAGCTCTGTCAAAATGCTGGCATTTCTATTAAAAAAAAAAAAAAAGAATTACAGCATCCAGTGCTGCCTGTTATTCCATGTAACTTAGACTTCCAAAAGCCTAGGCTTTTCTGAACAAATACTACCAGCATTTCAGTCTCTTCTATTATGTTTTACATTTCTGTCCAGTCAGAAGTGATAGACTCCCCTTACAAGACTATTTTAATTCCGAGTGTAAAATAATGGTTTGTTTGACTTGCAAGCAGAACTTCATAAATCATTTCACTTAATTTTTTTGTCCCTACAGCTAATATTTCTGCCCAATAAGCTACCTTCTGTTTTCTTTAATGCCAATATTCCTTAAACTCAGGCATTCTTAAAAAAAATAAAAACACACACAGGCATATCATTATACCTTGCACAGAAAGATCCTTTCGGCCTATAAATCACATTTAAAGACTATAAATAAAACCAACAGAATTTATACTATACAAAATTACTCATAGCAGAAAGACAATTCTTTCAAAGTTTAGTTCAGTTCCTTCATACACTTACCTCCGAACTGTTGAGATGACACTTGTGAGTGCCTGAAAACCACCCCTCACTTGAACACTGGTCAATATCCACCTTCTGCAGGTTTATGTCGACTTTAACAACACCTCTGAAAAAGAAAAAACAATCATGAACACAGTGATTACAGAAATACAAGGTAAACCGTTTTATGCCTCTGTGGTCTGGAGAGCAGAACAACATTTTTCTTCTAAATATGGAATTTGATATAATGTCTGAAAACAGAAATGAGGAGTTTTGTGTTCTTGAAGTTATGATGACAGAGATAGATTTGTATGTTAGAATCTACTGAAAATATATTACCACAAGAACTCTGTAAATCTAAAAGGATTGAATAAGTGTAAGACGGTAGGTAAGAATAGGTTACATACTGAAATAATTTAATATTCTTCATGGTTTATGATGCAGCAAAGAACTAAAATAAACATGGCTAATGACCTGCACCTCTAATCCCGAGATCGGCACTATCACCAGGGCACCGTGGGCTGCATGCACTGAACACCATGCTCCAGGCGCCACCACATGTGATCCCTGACTCCCATCACTCTGAGGTGACTCCCATGCCAAATGACAATGACATCCCACTCCTGCTCCAGGGGATGCAATTTTCCAAAACAACTGGGCAAAAGGCTTTTTTCTTTATTCTCCCTGCCCCC